CGCATTGCCTAAGAAACACTCTACTCTTTCTACATCCGACAATATTGAAGAAAGCACACTTATCTTGAAATCTGCAGGATTGCCCATTTGCCGCCCTCACCTGGAATCAAAAGTGAAAAATTTTGAAATTTGCGATCTAAAACGGCAGCGCACGGTATAAAGATTAACAAATCATCAAAAACCAGACGTGCGCGCAGCCAAAAACAAAAAAAAGCACCGGAATAAGAAAAACGGGCAAAATTTGGCGTCGAATTTCAGCCGTACGCGCACCTGGTGCAAGTACGGCACGGCGCGAATCCCGCACCTCATCCGGGATTTCAAAGTTGTGTGCAATAGCACGCACGACACCGAGGTGACTAGACGGATGACGTCTACTATAAAACCATCGTCTCCCTAATAAAATTCATTCAGCCTACAACGTCAATGCTCCGATCGGAATAAAAACCGAGGAAGTAGAAGAAATGCTGGAAAAAATATGCCGATGACGTGGAAAAACGCTTTCATCGACGCATTTAAAAGATTTCCAAACCATTACTTTATATGGGGATACGTCGGGAACGACATCAAAGGTAGGAAATGCAGAACCTTTTCTCCTTCCATTGCACAGTCATAACAGTTACAAATTCAGCTTCTTTCAAATTATTTATTTACTAACAATCACCATGATTTTTGGAAGTTCGTATGATTTCTAGGATGATCAAAGGGTAGGAGACCTCACTATCTATATTTAACCTTATGTTCATCTTATAATAAAGCTAAGTTAGTAGTGAACCTGTCAACGCTCAGAGTTTTAGCTCAGATCTAACTCGGGGTTATGTGAGCTAAAGCGCATCTTTTAGAGGTCATTAAAAGTGCTTAGCTGCTCAAAAAGTCCGAGTCTGAAAACCGCTGACTTGGCTGGATACTCTCAAAAGGTAATTCGTACGTAGTTGGGAAATCTAGCATAAGTCATTCAAATAAGTATTACCAACAAACGCGCGGCTGAGCTCGCTATACTTCTAGTTTGGTGAGAAGCAGCCAAAAAAATTCTCAGAAGTATATTCTACTCGTAATATCAGCAAGCATGATGGATAACGTAGTGAACTGTTAGTTACAAATTTGAAATTTTGTGATTTTTGGGCTCACGAGGAAATGGTCAGAAGTCGAAGTGACCAATCCATACAAGCTGCATACCATACGATGCAGCACAAAACGCTGATTTCAAATCTGTCTTCCGTATCTGCAGAGCGCTTTTGTAAGCGAAGTTATGATCAGCTTTACTGCGAAAAAACCGAATACAAAAATTGCAAAATTAGGCGCATTACTGCTCTTTCAGCTCAACTATAGGTACGGGTCATATGAAGGGACCTAGTTGTATGTTTTGGTCCAACGCTGAGCCGAGAATGGCTTTGTGCGGCCAAGTTTGCACTTTATATGCACAATTTCTTAGCAAAATGATTGCCTTCAACGGCTTATAACTTCGTCCACAAAAGCGCTCTGCAGATAAGAAAGACATATTTTGTGTCAGCGTTTTATGCTGCATCTAATGGTATGCAGCTTGTTTGGATTGGCCACTTCGACTTCTGACCATTCCCTTGTCAGCAGGTAGTTCGCTGCGTTAAAACTGGAAAAAGTGAGACTAAGAAATTAACATTTTAAGCAAAACTATAAAACTATCCACATTATTAAAATCAAATTTAGTAATATTTTAATTCATAATACCATTAATGTGATCATCAAAAGCTATTTGCAGGTTCACTGAGAAGTACGTCGGAAACTTGCCGCCTATTGTTCACTTTTGGAGAGACGAAAAAGCCTGGAGAAAAATTTACGTGTGAAGCCTTTGTGTATATATGTCAACTAATTGACTTACCCGGCTCCGCCCGGATCGGTTTAGAAATGGAATTTTCTATTCGGAACATACGTACAGACAGACAAACAGACATTCAGCTTTATATATAAGATGAAGTTATTGCTCATGAATTTGCTGAAACATTAAGTGAAATAATAAATGAACCTTTGACGATCGGTGCGCAGTTGAATTGCATTCTTTTTAAGAGGTATAAATTTTCTAAGCAGATGGCGGAATCCGTGTAAAGTCATTGAATGATTCCTCAAAGAGTCATTGTTCCAACTTTTGATATTATTTCTAAACTCCGACAGAGATCGTAACATTTGCGTAGAGAAACAGGTGCAACAGAAGCACCTATTACATCCAAGACTTTGTGTAATCAGAGTTAGTCTTACTGTCAAAATGCTATAGCTACGAGGATCGTGGAGTTCTACAATCCGCCTACTTGGACGATGATAAGGACGAAGAAGGACAGGCAGAGATGCATTTTTCTACGTTGGAGCACTATACAAGAGGAGAAGGACAATCGTATATGATCATTGCGTGATTATTCTGAAAAAAATATTGTTTTCTGTCGAAGAAGATTGAGAAATATAAAAGATCTTAGGAGGAAAACTCAGTCATAAATAGCCTAGTCTAGTGTAGAAGTCTACTTTTCCATCCGCTTTCAGAAAACACAGCTTGCCAGGAGAAAGTTGGATTCAATCCTGCCAGGAAGAGATAGTTTTAGTCATTGTTTCAAAATTGTAGAATTTTTCTATAAAAAATGGTAACTTTCTCATATAAGAAGATAGGAGAGTCTCTAACCATACATTGAATTACTCTTGTTGAGAGCTTTCAAAAAATATATAGTTTGCCAGGATACAAAGGATTTTCCTGTAAGGTGAAGGTGATCATATTTGTTTTTCTAAAATCAAGGAAATTTTTATATAAACATTTATAACTTTACCATATGAAAAGCTAGAAGAGTCCTTTACACTCTGCTGGAATCCCCTCGCCGTCAGCTTTCAGAAAATATACAGCTTGCCAGGAAAAAGGAAGGTTTTCCGATCGGGTGAAAGGGGTCGTAGTCGTTTTTCCGGAATTAAGCCATTTTCTAGTTTTAAAAAATTATAACAATTTTATATGAAAAGATGGAAGAGTGTTTAGGTGTTAGATGAATTCCACTCGTCGTCCGCTTTCAGAAAATATATAGATTGTTGGGAGACGGATGCAAGAAGTACGTGGTGAAAGGGGGGGGGAACATGGTATAATGGAAATTTTCCTTTCTGTACTCAAAAAGCGTCGTTTTAAGGAACTAAAGGAACATGCCCATTATACCATGTTCCCCCCTTTCACCACGTACTTTTTGCATCCGTCTCCCAACAACCTATATATTTTCTGAAAGCGGACGACGAGTGGAATTCATCTAACACCTAAACACTCTTCCATCTTTTCATATAAAATTTTCTAAAGCTAGCAAATGGCTTAATTCCGGAAAATAGACTGCGACCCCTTTCACCCGATAGATAAATCCTCTTTTTTCCTGGCAATCTATATATTTCCTGAAAGCGGACGACGAGAGGAATTCAATAGAGTGCAGAAAACTCTTCCAGCTTTTCGTATAGTAGAGATATGAATTTTTTAAAAAAAAATTTTGTTAATCTTAGAAAAACAAATATGATCACCTTCACCTTACAGGAAAATCCTTTGTATCCTGGCAAACTATATATTTTCTGAAAGCTCTCAACAAGAGTAATTCAAAGTATGGTTAGAGACTCTCCTATCTTCTTATATGAAAAAGTTACCATTTTTTGAAAAATTCTACAATTTTGAAACAATGACTAAAACTGTCTCTTCCTGGCAGGATTAAATCCCTCTTTCTCCTGGCAAGCTGTATGTTTTCTGAAAGCGGATGGAAAGTAGACTTCTACACTAGAACAGGCTATTTATGACTGAGTTTTCCTCCTAAGATCTGACCTTTCAACTGTGCTGCCTGTCACCTCATAATATCTATACTCAATCTTCCGTTTCAAGTCTGTGGGCAAATCAGATGCATCTCATCAACTGTACTCTGTCTTGTCTCCCAAGATTCTGTCTTGTGAGAAATATGAACCATTGCTCATGTCAGCATCGATTCAGCTCCACGATAACGATTGCGATGGTGTAAAGTCACTTGTGTGTTGCCTCATTCCGTCGTCCGTACAACGATTAGACCTTGCAATCTTTTGCTTTGACATGCTCCCAACGCGTAACGCACGCGGCAAATCCCCCTCCCCTGTTTTTGCTTAGGCAAAAGCCGCCGAAGGGTATCTCGCGCGCAGCACTGGTCCTATAAGCGAAAGCATCACGGTCTGGGAAACTGTTATACCATACGAATTGCCTTTATCGTGGGGATTGAGCACGATATTCTTGAAACAGCACTTCAGGTAATTTTCTGCCAAGGTTTCAGGCAGGTTCATGACTTTTACCCGCTGCCACGCGAAATGACTACGATATTCCTCATCAGCGGCTTGAATAACCCCCATGTACCGACTTTGGCAAAATCCATCACAAAAACAATTTGGGGCCGGATAGCCGAATAGCGCCATCAGTTTTCAGAATTATCCTTACTTTTACTGGTTTTATTGCTTTTTTTTGCAAAGTTTGAGCTACGGGGCTGGGGGTTGTTGAGGGAGGTAGGTGGGCATGCTAATTACTAACACAGCGGGAATAGGGAATTGCATGTAGAAGTGGACACAATGAAAGGTTTTACAGGGATAGGGATAAGACCTTAATCATAGCATTGACAGGGCCGGGCGGAGCCGGGTAAGCCAGCTAGTATACTATAATAGTGATTGACACAAGACCTATCTATAGTACATCAGCAGGACCGTTATTTTTGGGCAGGCTTCATCAGTCTGCGATGAAGACGGGAGAATTTCATCTCGTTATCGGAAACCAAAGTGATGAAACGACGGCTCCGAGAGAATTTGACATTCTGTACAGACGCGGAGACGCAGGCGAGCAGCGCGAGCGAGAGTGCGCGTGGAAATGGAGGAGCAGCGTGGCCGAGGCAGCGTAGCAGACGCGGAGACGCAGGCGAGCAGCGTGGAGAGTGCATGTTGGAGTAAAGTGTGCATTGTAACGCACCATATCCTCTATCATAACCGAGTACGATTCAACATGTGTCAACAAATTTTTATTTTCAACAGGTTAAAATCATCCACAGCTACATGATGGAGCAGTCGTAGTCTTCGATAGGCGCTTCAGATGACGTCACTCCTTCCACAACGGCCGCCGGGGCCGATCGTGCAGCTTCCACACGGCGCTCGATATTCGGCCATCGACGAATTGTAAACAGCAGCCCAATTACTGCACCTACTATTGCCATGCTCCAGCCCAAAATGTAGCCGACTGCACTTCTAAAAAAATACTTGAATTCGAAAAATATCATTAGCTAGCTAGCTTACTTACTCATTTCCTGGCAAATCACATCCGGCCCAGGAGTACAGTGCCAGGATTTTCTCGGAGTTCATGGGAGTCATACTGAAATAATAATTCAGCCTCATAATCCTTAGGGCAATTAAGACACAAAAAATAAATATGAAACCGACGTCCGGACTATCGTAGCAACACACAGTACAACACATGTCATTTTTTATTGCAACAATAGGCACAAAGTGTTAACAGAGTATATCAATCCGTTGATATCAATCCGTAGACGGGGGTGCAGGGCTCGCACTTCCGAATGCAGCGTGCAGGCGACGCATAAACGTACGAGTGTGCCTCCAGGCTATGAACGCCGCCAGTACGAAAAGGAAGATAGCGAAAAATCCAGTGCAGAATCCGTTCACAAAACTCCAGAAAATTCTACAAATAAATTTCATTAACTGATTATTGCAAAAAAAAAACCTTGTACACTCACGCAATAAGTACAGAAGGTGCGAACTCCCCGCAGCGCATAAGTTGGCGCATTTCTGCACCATAGAATACATAGGGTTGGTCCATCTAAAATATATAAATATAGGGTAAGAGGAGGGTAAGAGTAAAGAGCCATAGATGTGAAGAATGGGAGCAGAAAAATTAAATGTGTACGATGACGGGGTGATGTGAAGACAGACCAATGAACTCGCTCAGTGAATTGTTTCGTAACCTCACTGAGTAACGCGCGATGTTATTCTGAAAATCCGTCTGGGACCGTCGACTCCGGTCGAAGCACTGGCGAATGTGTTGTGCACTCGACTCACAGGTCTAAAAAGCAGAACAAATAAAATCAAGCAGTAAAATATAATTAATCAGTAGACATTCTAAAATAAACCATAAACTCCGTTTCGTTCCTATCCTTAGACGGAGACAAATTGGATTATAATACAAGCCCTCCCCGGAACTCATCAGTAAGGAAGGAGGGCTTTTCAAAGCAGGAAAGGTTACAAGAATCAAAAGCATGTTAATTTTGGCACATTTCAGTCTTTTCTGGGCATAAAAAGTAGAAATTGGAAAAAAGATATCAAAAGTGAGATTGAGAGAGAAAGAAGGTGAAATAAAGACAGGAAATACGTGCTTTTTTCCTCCAAAACATCAGACGGTTCACATTATCATATTAAATGTGACAACGACGATGATGGAGGACTATGCACATCAGAAGAGCAAGGGATGAATAAATAAGAAAAATGTTAAAGCAAAACCTTTTAAAATTACTCATGTCCATAAGAAGGATTGAAGAAAGGCTAGCACATTTAATGACAAAAACTGCCCCACCTCCGGTCGACGCACCCTCACAGCGGCGGCCGCTCCCCCCCCCCAGCGGCCCTCATACCCCCCTCACCTTGGAGAGGTGGGACCCCTATGACTCCCTTCACCCTGGAGAGGCCATGTTCCCCCTTTGCACACGTATGCATCTGGCGAGGTAATGGTAGGGTTGCAGTAGACAGGAGAACATTACGAACTGACCAAAAAACTTGGTAAGATGGGTGTTATCTGGAGCACGGATAACAATTACACCTACTAGCTTGCAAACCCGGGTCCGCCCGGCCCTGGCAATAATATTTTTATAATCAGCATATTCACTTACCCTCCTTTGCCAGCTCCCATCCTCGTAGGTGAAACTTTGCAAAAAAAACGATAGAATCGATAACGATCAATGACGAAAAATAGCCTACGACACCCTCCCTACCTCGAAGTGTATGTGTGCCAAGCTTGGTCCAACGGTTCAGAAATAAATAAATCTTACTTGGAACATGCGCAGACCTACATGCAGACAAGCAGACATTCAGCTTTTTTGAACACATTTCCACTGCGGATTCATGTAGCGGTGTTAAGGTAGATATAAGATGGTTACTCAAAATTCAAATGAAGTGGAGTTTAGCAAACTTCGTTTATTCTGCTCGCAAACCATAAGTACAACATGCGTTTTGATGAGTGCTGCTAATGGTGTTACAGGAGCATGTACGGTAAATAAATCTAGCAAAGCATCCAAACTTCTTTTCTCTTTTACTTTCTTTCTATCATCAAAGAGTGGTGCTATGGAGGAAATGAACGGAAATCCCGGCCACGAAATCTATTCTCACCCTCCATCCCCGTCCCCCTTCCCACCCTCCCTCCCTCGTCTAGCTCATTTCATTTTTCACAGTATTGTTTAAAAGGCAATCAGGCAATCATCGAGGCAATCAGCATGCTGTTCACAACAAACATTCCTCTGGCGGAGTTGTGAGATTTACGGTTAAGCGCTCTTCTTCCTCATCTTACTTGATCGTAGTATTTCCTCATTTGAACAGATTCGATTCTTGATTACGACCCCCCTTGTTGTTACCCCTATGCGATCCCTCAGGCCGGGCGCGCCTGGCTCCACGCTCAACCCTGGTCATGATTCTAAGAACAGGGCTAGCTTTCGCGCGCGCTGCCTCTTCCCCTGGGTACCCACGACCGATGGTGGTTGGTATGCCCTATATACTGTCTATGATGGTGGTGGAACAGAGGATATGGAAGGGAGCGAGAGGCGTAAATAACAAAAATAAGCGAAAATTTGAACGAGATCTTTAGGAAGCGAAACTGACAGGCGTCGTTGAGTCCGTCGCGGAGCGGCGGGCTCAACGACGCTCGGCAGTTTCGCTTCCTAAAGATCTCGCGCCTAAGCCTAAGCCTAAGCCTAAGCTTAAGCCTAAGCCTTCAAAACTTCACGATTCCGGAAACGTCAAATGTTTTCAGGACTAGCACTGCTCTATTGGAAAGTGACAAATCTTATACAAAACTCCAGGCCAGTCTCAGAGGTCGGGTCCGAGTACCGCTGCGGAAATGCTGGCAGGTCAAAGTGCTGCGGAAACCTTGCGAGCCTCACTGCACTCAGACAATTCACCGGAACTTCTGCAGGACAAGCAGTACTTGCAGCGTTTCCGCAGCACTTGCTTAATCATTGAGAAAGTGCACGCTCCAAAGTGCGATGTTTCCGCAGGAAATTGACGTCACAGCAATCGTAAACCGGAACTTCCGCAGCACTTTCCATAAAGCGCTGCGAAAGTGCAGTGAGGCTCGCAAGGTTTCCGCAGCACTTTGACCTGCCAGCATTTCCGCAGGACTTTGAGAGCGCGTGCATTCGCGATTAAGAAATAGCGAACGCAACATCAACAACGCATAGCGCACTCTTTTCTTCCCTACTGTTTCACTTCTGTTCCTCCTCTAATCTTTCTCTTTTTTCTTTCTTTCTTCAATGTTGGCGTAAGTAAACCTACACTCATCCATATTCTAACAAGGGAAGGAAGATTGGTCGAAGTGACCTTTTGAAATGTGATGTATACTGCCTTGTAGAGCTTGGAACGCTGATTCCAAATCTACCTTTGCTATCTGCTGCGGGCTTCTGGGCGAGGAGTTATGAAGGTTTTTGTGAGTAAAAATCTGAATGCAAAAATAGGGTAAAATCAGCCGTAACCTTTCCCCAATGTTCAAAAGGCAGCAGCGAGTGGGTTTATATGAATCAAGAGTATTTGTTGCACCGAGTGACCTGACTACCAATTGAGCCTAATAAAAAATGTTAACACTGATTTTAGCCTACTCCTGCATTCAGATTTTTACTCACAAAAACCTCCATAACTCCTCGTCCAGATGCCCGCAGCAGTTAGCAAAGGTAGATTTGGAATCCGCGTTCCAAGCTCTACAAGGCAGTATACATCTCATTTCAAAAGGCCACTTCGACCAATCTTCCTTTCCTTGTAAGTATTCTTTCAGGCATCGGTGCAGGTGTGTGAACAACCATCACCAAGCTGCTGGAGTGCTGGAAAAGAACTCAACGGAGGGACTTCGTCTAAGCACAACGCCGTTGTTCAGGTATGTCGAACTTCTTTGCTTTATGTTCTTTGATTAAAATAATATGTAATGCAAGTACACTGGATAAATAAAGCAGAAGTGATTAGGTAGAAATACATCAAAACAAAGGGGGGGGGGAATGGGTCACCGAATTTCAAAGTGATCTGCAAGCTCTTGGTGAATATTGAAATAGTTTCAAAAATTTTCAGATCCAAATTAGGTGGGACCAAAAGTACGTTCGCCAGTTTTTTAAAAAAATCATAACTTCCTTTCAACTCTATGGATCTCTTTGCATTTATATTCATCTAGGAGAGGAAATCATTCTCTTTACAGCAGTACTTTTTGCATGAATTGGCATAAAAAAGTTCGAAAGTTAGAAGCAACTGAAGAAAATTACTCAAAATTGGCATTTTCAAGCAGGGTCACCAAAAAAGTCTGAAAGTATTTTTCGATAGAGAAAGCTATGCTCTTTACTATAGTGCCATCTCCAAAAACAAAAAAGACTGAGAATTAGAAGGAAAAAGAATTATTTCAGTTTTGCGTCGGGAGGGACGGAAAATTCCTGCGAACATGGGTTTAGTGACCTTCTCTTTTTGGTCGAGAGAAATTCGTGTCAATCGAGAGCAATTTTAATTTTCGTAATATTACCGAGTTTTCGGATCTGATTTTATACGAAAACCAAAATTGCTTTCGATTGGCACGAATTTCTCTCAGCTAGAAGGAGGTCACAAAACCCATGTTCATGAATATCCCGTCTTTTCTTTGACGTTTTGGGCGTTGAGCATGCTCAAAAATTGCAAAACTGAAGTAATTCTCTTTATTTGCTTCTAATTCTCAATCTTTTTTGTTCCGGAAAAAACGCTATAGTAAAGAACATAATTTTTCTATCGAAAAATACTTCCAGAATTTTTTGGTGAACCTGCTTGAAAAATGCCAATTAGTAATTTTGTTCAGTTGCTTCTAACTTTCGAGCTTTTTTATGCCAATTTATGGAAAAAGTACTGCTGTAAAGAGAATGATTTCCTCTCTTAGATGAATATAAATGCAAAGAGATCCATCGAGTCGAAAAGAAATTATGATCAGGGTAAAGCGGGGGGTGCGGCACGCCGCAGGGGGAGGGGGTCGTTAGGGGGGGGGTAGGTAGGGGGGGTCGTATGGACCCAAGGTCAAAAGCACTTGTACAAGCTGTGTGACTAAATTGACTTGATGAAAGCGCTGTTGAAATCCTGCAAAATTCAAGTTCAACGACACAAACTTGCAGATACCGTATGCCTACCGTAACCTACCGTACCTCTAATCAAGCATAATTGTCGTAATCCGCGTGTCGAATAACCCCTATGCGCCAAGTTTCAGCGAACT